GGCATTTCACTCCAAAAAAGCGTACGGGATTTTCGGATTTTTAAAAATCCGCGGATTTTTTAGCGGATTTTTCCCGGATTTTTAGCGGATTTTTGAAGAGAAAATTTGCTGGATTTTCCGGATTTTCCGGATTTGTTCGGATTTTTTCTGGATTTTTGAAAATCTGTTGGATTTTCCGGATTTGTTTGGATTTTCTGGATTTGTTCGGATTTTTTCTGGATTTTTTTTAATTATAGAGTTATAGAGCTAGGTAACGTTTTGAACAAATAATCTTAAGTTGTACGATGTCAACGTTATGCCAGGACGTCAGGGTCGAGCAGAGGACTGGGACTAGGACCACAGCCTTCTGAAACTAACGAAGGCTGCGCATGCAGTCATTTTGTTTAAAATTCAAACAAGTTCATTATTCTTTCAAAAACAGTAAAAGACAATGGTGAATATAACTGACTTTTGGTTTTGTAATTATATTTTACATCATAACGTCATTGTAACAAGAACACATATTTAGTAGTAATAGGCTAAAAAAACTTAGCGTATACTCGAGCGTATAAATGGAAATGTAGAGTGGTCCAATAATTACGAAATATAATGACAGCGATCACGGTAAGCGTTTAATACTGGCTTTCGCTGTCCGCCATTTTGAACGTGGCAAAGAACCTTTACGAGTAAATTACACCAAGTACTTCATATATTTTTTTGTGGATTTGCGGATTTTTTAAGGATTTTTAAGGATTTCTGTGGATTTTTGAAGGATTTCTGTGGTTTTTAAAGGATTTTTTGGATTTTGATGGATTCAACGAATTTTGAGGATTTCATGGATTTTTTCTGGATTTTTTCCGGATTTTTTGACGAAGTGTACGGGATTTTTGGAGTGAATTGCCCCTCGCATACAACTATCTATACACCTAAAGGTATACTAGCTATAAACAAATCCAATAATCACGTGGAGTCAGTTATCTATATAAGCCTGCAGGTACAAGCTATCATGGCCAATGGCTCGAAGGAAATTAATTTCCTGGGCAAACCGCATTTTTGCAATTATGGAAATCTGCGCAAAATTCCAAACTGTAAAAAACTGCAAATAAATTCTGACGAATCTACACAAAACGCCTTTGTGAATAAAAAACCAAGCAGATTTCAGTCTCATGGTATTCCATGCAAGCTACTTCACAAAAACACTTTGTGACTTAGGTTCTCTGGCCTTGGTCAGTTTGGTCTGCCATATAAATTTTATCTGAAAATATCCGACATTTCTGCATGCGCATCTTTCCCAAAGAAAAAATATTTCCTTCGTAAAATAAAACGTTTCAGTCAGCTGGGGCCTACGGACGATACCAAACAAGTTGAAAACGACCGGGTTGCTTGATTGGACTTTCTCAGTGATGATGCATGCATGATAATGAAGAATGACATAACTATAAAATATATTTATTTTCATATTTGGATGTCTGCTTCCCTCGGGCCTCAGATGGCATTTTAACGCCGCATGACCATTTCAGTAAGAAATAATTTAGCAAGAACTAATTTTAGAAAGAGCTTGAGTGAACTTTATTAAAAGTAACGATATAGTTGAAATTAATTTGCTTGAAATTAAAATTAAAAATTTGTTAAAGTGGGATATTTTGTTCCGAAAATGTGTGATAATCAATTCTATTTTGAACAGAGATTCTCATCGCCTCTCCGACTTTATCTTCATCGTTCAAAAGTTGGATGAAACCTTCTGCCACCACATCAACCCTGTTGGAAAATTTGAGGAGAGAAAATGTTTATGAATTAGGAATTTAAACTAGGAATTTAATTACTTAAACAACCTCTCTCATATTTTTCCTTGGCCGGCCCAAATACGACACTATCGCATATAGTGAATGAATATTACAGTGTACACTTCATTTACTGAAACAGAAGTTTAAAAGTGCGAATTTTAAAATAAATGTTTAGTACGTAGAAAGATGGCTTGATAAATTTTTTTAAAATAGAAAATTTGCGATATATCTAGATCCGTATTTTTGGACAAGTATTAGGCCTACCTGTTGAAAATTAAAAACAAAAAGCA